GTGTGTATGTGTGTGTGTATGTGCGTGTGTATGTGCGTGTGTATGTGTGTGTGTATGTGCGTGTGTATGTGCGTGTGTATGTGTGTGTGTATGTGCGTGTGTATGTGCGTGTGTATGTGCGTGTGTATGTGTGTGTGTATGTATGTATATGTGTATGAATGTGTGTGTATGTGTGTGTGTGTGTATATGTGTGTGTATGTGTATGTGTGTATATGTGTATGCGTGTGTGTGTGTGTACGTGTGCGTGTGTATGAGTGTGCATGTGTATGAGAATGTGTGTGTATGAGTGTGCATGTGTATGAATGTGTGTGTGCGTGCGTGTGTGAGTGTGTGCATGTGTATGAGTGTGTGTGTGCGTGCGTGTGTGTGTGTGTGCGTAGGTCCAGCAGCTTGGGCCAGGCGTATGCAGGCCGGGATTAGTGCAATTTGTCTCTGTCATCGCAGACTGCCCTCCGCCCGGCCTCACATTTTGCCCGACACATTCACGACACGCTACACACATGGTCAGTGTACAGATGGTGAACGGGTGGTGTGTGTACAGATGGTGAACAGGTGGTGTGTGTACAGATGGTGAACGGGTGGTGTGTGTACAGATGGTGAACACATGGTCAGCGTACAGATGGTGATCAGATGGTGTGTGTGCAGGAAGAAGGCCGGGACGAGTGCAATTGGTGAACGACACGCCCAGATTGCAAACATCACAGCCTGCCTCCCACACACAGCCTGCCTCCCACACACAGCCTGCCTCCCACACACACACAGACACAGACAGATAGGCACTGACACACAGACAGACAGACACACACACAGACAGACAGACACACAAATACAGATACACGAATACAGACACATACACACAGAGAAATACAGACAGACACACACACACACACACAGACAGACAGACACACACACCCACAGACAGACAGACACACACACAGACAGACACATACACACACAGACATACACACACACACACATACAGACAGACACATACACATACACACACACACACACACAACCAGCTGTCCCTGTCTGTGCTCTGGTCGGGTAAAACCTTTACGGCACTCCCAACAACATAAGGTCGTGGAGCGTGCGGGACTCGAGTTGTCGAGCGTTCCCTTCAGTTCACGGACCGCTCTGGGTCTGTCTCGCCCCGCGGGAACCGTTGAGTTGCCGCTCTGGGTCTGTCTCGCCCCGCGGGAACAGTTGAATTGTCGCTCTGGGTCTGTCTCGCCCCGCGGGAACCGTTGAGTTGCCGCTCTGGGTCTGTCTCGCCCCGCGGGAACAGTTGAATTGTCGCTCTGGGTCTGTCTCGCCCCGCGGGAACCGTTGAGTTGCCGCTCT